GGGAAGATCTGCTGCACGCTCTGCTGCAGTATTGCATTGACCTGGGCGTGCAGCTCATGCGGGTCTGCAGTGGAGACCTGCTGCAGCTTGCCAGCGACAAGCGCCTGCAGCGCCTCTCCGTCAGGATTGCTGCCCGTGGCTGCCTGGATAAGGCGGGCTTTGTCGATGCGTGCAGTGGCTTGCCCCTGCGTGCCTGGTCTCCAATGAATCGGCAGGACCGGTATGCGCGCCTCCACAGGATAATGCCCCGACTGGCGCCAGCTTGCGACAGGAAACCTGTGGAGGGGCCTGGCCTGTCGGCTGATGCCCGTGGCCGTGGCCCTGCGGGTGATTATGTAGTCTATCTGAGAATACCCTGTATGCCCATAATAAGTGCACGCCGGCCGCGCGTGCCAGCTGTTCAGTGCACACAGATTATGTCGCAGCATCATTTGCTGGAGCTGTTCATCAAGCTTGCTGGCACTGGTTTCGGGGCCTACGGCGGTACCTACATGTGGGAGGCAGGGTCGCAGATTGGTATTGTAATCACCACAAGCAACAAGGAGATTGCGAGATGGGAGGGAGGCAATGATGGTGTCCATGGCATCCCAGACTGTGTTTCGCAGTTCCCGATTTCCGAGCAAGGATAGGTGACTGCGCCAGACATGCTGGTACGTGGCTAATATGTCTACTGTGACCCCCGACTGCTTCAGCTTTGCACGCACATGTATCACACGACCTCCGATGGCCTCGTGTACAGCCGGGTCCAGGAAATGGGCTCGCGAGAGGAGCACAAGTACTCCAGCGTACCTGTCAGCGTGGCGTGCTTCAGCGGCTGGGGCACTATGTACACAGACCCATCGTCCAGAAAAGAACTCCGAGCTGGTATCCCAGTGTGTCTCTTGAACGATACAGACGTGGTGTGTGCCTTGCGTGTCGAGCCAAGCCATGTATTCCTGGAAGACACCCGCATTTAATCCCCCTGCATTCCAGCTTAAGCACTGCAATGTGAAGGTCCTGTCTGCTCGCTTGCGATCTCGCTGTGCCGTTGACCTGGGTATGGGCAGGGGACTATAAGGCAGGGTTTGTAGGGTGGCTGCATTGTGCCAGCGACCTCGGTAGAAGGTGCCACCGGTCTTCGCCGCCCGGAGGCGAGCCCTGCGAAATGCTCGCTTCTCAGTTTGTGTTGGCGCTAGGGGGTTGAGTGGCATGCTCAGCGCTCTGCTGCATTGCTTCCCCAGCTTTGGCAAGCCAGGTCTCGCCTCCACTGCAGCTGTGGAGGCAACCCTCACCCCTACTGCTCCCTCTAATGTGCTCACAGAGATAAAGAGGAACGGGAAGCAGCAGCCGGACTTGGGACCGGCTCGGCTCAGTCTTACAGACTCGTGACGGATGGCACGGGAACTACCTGGGGTTCTACGTCGAAAGACAGTCGGTGACAGGCCTGTAAGGCGTCGCAGCGCAAGGCCGCGGTGATCAGTCAACGCCGGACAGTGGCTGGCACACGATTGTCTCCTTTGGCGGGGTTGGGGGCTGAGGTAGGACTTAGGGAATCTAGAGCGAAGCCTGGGGTAGCCGGGAACTTTAGGGCGACGATATCGAAGACTGGGGCCTAGGGGGTGTAAGTGCGGTAAAGGCAGAAACTGCACCGAACACAAGCTCCTGGGTCGCCCATAGAGGCATGCACGACAGCACCTATGATGGCGGAGAGGCTTCGGCCGGGCGGCGGGGTCGCCGCTGGTGTGTGCTGCGGTACTCATAGTCCTGCCACCGCTCAAGTCGCGGCCCATCCAAGAGTCGCCGTGCTGCCTCCTGCACCGCTGTCCAGTCTCGGTCACGCAGCTGGCGCCGCAGCGCCCCCACTCGGCCACCCTGTTGACGGGCCGTGAGCTCCACCGTGTCAACAAGCTGCTGTCTGTAGCAGCCCAGGAGCACGTTCTTTGCATGTACCAGGCAGTTCTCGACGAGGACCAAGGTTGTGGCACTCCAGGTAGAGGATGCATCAGACCGATCGTCATCTCGGTCATCGGGACGCCTGTCCATTCCGTGGTTGTCATCACTGCTGTCAGCCATGGAAGATGCTCCGGAAGGGCTGCTGAGATGGGCTGCCGAGCACGAGTCCTCTGTGGACGTGGTGCAGAATCTGCCATTTGGCAGGAACGGCCCTTGCACCCGGTCTCCATTTTGCACTGGCCAGCGTCGCTCGGGCCTGGAGCCCTCTGAGTCATCGGAGTCCGGCTCAAGACGGCCTTCCCGCAAGGCGTGGTGATCATCACGGGCAGCGGTGTCCCAGACGGGCCTGGGCACAGGTGGGCCTGCAGGCAGCAACTCATCAGGACGCACAGGGCCATCCCTCTGATAGTCCCTGGGTGTCCGCTCTGTCGTGCTTTCAGCGGCTTCCATGTCGGAGAGGCCGCTGCCATCGTCGCTCATCTAACTTCGCCAAAAGACCCTGCAGAAGCCCAACAACCGCGAAGAACAAGAACCCACAGCACCGAAGTGTTCTCCAGGGCATGTGCCTGTGAGCCGTGGGGCTTCACCAACACCACCACCATCATCATCATCACCATCACCATCACCATCACCATCACCATCGCCATCATCATCATGGTCATCATGGTCATCTTTATATTCTTCCGCTTCCTCTCAATGTTTTCTCATCGCCGGCACCATCATCATCATCGTCATCGTCATGAGCATCATCGTCGTCATCACTGTCATCATCATGGTTACGAGGGTCCGACATAAACTTGGGCACGAACCTACATCGGGAGAATAATTGTATTTTGCTCTCAAGAAGAGTCGAACTGCGAAGCAAAATGCTACTTCTGAGGTGTGTCAGCGGAAGTCGCAGAACGCCTGGTGGCAAACTGTCGTGGTCAGGCATCGGCCGGGTTGTATCGGGTCACTTCTGCATGTTGCTCGTTTTTCCGCTAGAAGAACATAGCCGCTCGCATGCTTGCTCGTTTTCGTAGTGTCGGCAGCAGGCACTCCCGATGAGTTGCAAAGTCTTTGTGCCAGCAGGATGCCACACCTGTGCGAGCCGCCGACCCCAAGAAGAGCCTGGTCGCACCCCAGAAGCATCGATTTCGTCGGCAGGAGCTAAGAGGTAGAGGAACATGGGCCCGGTCCTACCCCGCAGACCAAGTCTCAAGTCCTCTCCTTCGGGTCGGTCGCATGTCAGCTTCGGGTTTAGGTGACATCCTGGCTAACTGATGGATCCTTGGATGAGCTGGCGATGAAGCAAGGCCTGTGTTTGCGGAATCCAGGATCCATGTGGGAGATGTCCCAAAGACAAGTTGCATCCCAAGCTCTGAGCTGGCTCTTCATATCGTGTTGTCTCCACCAGGCTCTGCGAAGAGCGTCACCGTCGGGGACGGCTGGGTCTTCGATCCACAGCTGGAGAAGGCCACGTTGGCTCTCGGCGGGTGAGAGAATTTCCACTTACATAAAGCTACGTACCATTTGAGGTTTGTGTGTGCCTCCATTTACATTCTACATAGATCCACATAGCGTTTGAAGAGATACGGATGCGTGATGCTCCGTTCTGCTGTTCATGTTGTACTGTCAACCGTTGTAAATGTTGAGTTTGGAAGTCGGGCTGCGTCTGCAGCTGGTGCAAAGCACTTGTGAACTCAGGGAGTCACGAACTTGACGAGAGTTCGATGGCTTCTCCTGGCTCTGATCCTGGACTTGGAGGACTCCCAGAAAAGCGGAGGGCTTGCCTTATTTTCAGCCTATGTGGGAAGCTTCTGAGGTAATCTGCACCGGTTGGCGGGCAGATTCGTTTCGGACTGTCTTCGGTTGTCAAGGGTTTCGGCTCATACTCGCCCGCCTTTGCTGACCTGTGCCGTAGGGGGGGGTGGAGAGCGGAACAGAATGTGGAGCTTTTCCGAACCATCCCATATATGCTCCGGTCGGAAAGCGCATCGGGCACGTTTTCGAAAGGTTTTTTTATTGACGTTGCAAGCAGGGAAGTTTGGAGAAACGGCGGGCCCGTGATGCTCATGATTCTGCCGGGCGTTTAGCGCGCTGGGGGCATAACGGCATAGCCCGGAGTGTCACTGCTGTAAGAGCCGTCGTCCCCCCTCCCCCGGGCTAGATGCACGCAAGCACGACGCCACACGACGCGACGACACATCACAACACACTCGAAGGCAACGTCCAGTCACCCTGGTCCCGTACATTCACAAGTGCAATACAGGGTACTTAGCTTCAGCATTGCTTAACTTATGCCTGAGTGTCGAGGAGAGGGTCGTGCACGAATTCCTCGAGTGCCTCGTTACAGTTCGATGGTGCGAAAATGATGAAGGAGTTTCGGGTTTGGGGAGGAGTGATAGGCTCAACCCTAAACCCTAAACCCCTAAACCCTAAACCCTCAGCCCTAAACCCCTAAACCCTAAACCCTAAACCCCTAAACCCCTAAACCCTAAACCGTGGCTCCTCTTAGATGTGCCAGTGGCTCATGAGCCGAGGCATGGCCAGTTGCCCAGCAAGCTGACAGTGGCCTACCAGGGCCCAGGATGGAGGAAAGAGCGCCTCGGCCTGGGAGCTTCATAGGGGCCTTAATATTAGAGTAGGGTTTTGGGGCCCATTATACTATAATTATAATAGGGTTTTTGGGCCCATTATACTGTAATCATAAGAAGGAGCTGCTTGTGGGTCGAAGCTGCCCGCGATAGTTCTGATATCCACGATCTCTAGTCCATCGCATGCAGCCTGCGACCTGTATCAAAGAAGCGCTTCGATTTGTAGCATGACAGGAGAGACAAGCCACAATGACTTGGGAGTAAATTGGAATGAAGCATGGCGCACCGCAGAGTTACTCAACACGACAAGACATCACTGCGTTGGCTAGATGTTGTTGTACGTCATCGTCAATTACCACCCGCGATCTTCTGATTCATAAACGATCCCTCCTTCACCTGCTACCTCGACTTGCTGTTGCTCTCACACATGTTGACAACGACGGTTTTCTGTACTTGTTCCGACAGTTTACTCTTCTCTTGTAAAATCAGGGGCAGAAAGAAGCACAGCAGCAGTCACAGCGTTCTCTGCCAGCAGAAGCTTTTGATCATGCAGAAAGAGCATGTTGTTACAATGTTGTTGTTACCCTACACCCTCAGCCATAAATCAAAAAGGCCGAAACGAACCTCAAACGCTAAACCCTGAACCCCAGACGCCATGTTTGGAATCCTGAACCGCAAGCCCTAAACCTTCAACCCTAAGCCCTAAACCTTGCCTCCACTATACAGCCGAAGCCTTGCTCGCATCGTAGCCCCCTGTATTGCAGCATTCCATTTACGACTTATACAAACATTTCTATACTATACTATACTAAATTATACTATGCTATACTATACTATAGTTACTCAACTACATTCTACCTATATAGTAGCTCCTCCGACGTAAAGGCCCGGTCCGGGGAGCACCGACGGCCGCAGCTGCAGCCGCAGCGTGGCCTTCCCAAGCGCGGCCTTCAGAGGTGCTGCAGTAATGCGATATATTATATCATAATATATATATATATATAAACGGTAATATAAGGTAGTATAATGTAATATAATACAATATAGTATCCCTGCGATATCTGATCTCTTTTTGGGTGGGATAGTCTATGAGAATCTAGTGCCTTTTGGATCCTTGTTGGGCATGTTCTAGTACATAGCAGTCTAGGGTAGTGTGCCATAGTATGTTGTAGCATAGAGTTCTACCGTATGGTAGGGTATCGTATTGTACAGTAGAGTATCGTACCGTACAGTATAGTATCGCATAGTAGAGTCTAGTATGGCATAGTATAGTATAGTATAGTATAGTATAGTATAGTATAGTATAGTATAGTATAGTATAGTACAGTATACTATAGCATAGTACAATGTGGAATAGTATAGTATAGTATGATATAGTATAGTATAGTATAGTATAGTATAGTATAGTATAGTATAGTGTGGTATAGTATAGTGTAGTATAGTATGGTAGTGTGGCGATTGCAGGACATCCCCAAAAGTCAGTCGGAAGGAATCAGGCAGGTATATCCATTGAGTCCGACTTGTTTGTTTTGCTTGTGGGTGCGGTTTTTAGCGATATCAAAGTTGAACTATGGACGAAACGTCAACAGGAGCCAATTGATGGTATTCGCTTCGCAGAAATCACATGTTCCTGCATGCTATTGAAAATCATTCGGAATACTATGGGCTTAAAAGTCAGTTACCACACATGCATGTGAATATCACTGCCAACTGACGTATATTTGTATCTGTTAGGTTCTCCCCCACGGGACCAACCTCAGGCCAACTCGTCCAAGAAAGCATGCTGCTTTTTATCTCGGAAGCCTGCTTATCTCGTTGGACATAAAGCAGAAATTTGCAACAGATTGGAGATTGTAGGTATAGCTACCGTTATCACAATGAACCTATTGTGGCGTAAAGCGAACATCGAAGTTTTCACGCTATTGTTAGGTCGAAGTGTTTGTAACGGACCTGAATGTATCAACTGACGCAGGCCGACATTTCCCGTTGAAATGTCTTTCACAATAAATCGCTCAGATGTACTCTCCAATTACCCTCTGAATTTATTGATCGTCAGGCTACCAATGAGCGTACATACGCGGATATATGGAATCAGCACGGATGTGTGTTTGAGCATGTCGGTACCACCCCTGGAGAAAGGCGAGGGGATGCTGCTGTTCGGCCATTTACTCAGCTCCAGTCCTGCACTAACTATGGTTCCTCATCATAACTATAGTATGCTATGCCCCCAAACCCTAGTCTAACTATTAAGGCCCCTATATTATGAATTAAGGGTTTAGGGTTTTGGGTTTAGGCCACCATTTTCACAAAAGGCCAGCATGCAGTCGTAGGAAGGACAGACCGAAGGCCGACATAGCCTTTTCGACCGGGGCAGCGTGAAGGACTTGGTTGGCATGCAAAAAGAAGGGGCTCCCATGTGCAGATCTTTGCGAACGATGCCGATTCGGGTTCGGCGACTTACTACGGCCACCTCTGCGACTCCCCCGGCTACAATTCGTCCCAGGCACAGGTGGTCGCAGATCCGGATGCGACGCGAGTTCGCTCTAGAAGCCAGTGGAGAAGGCTCAGGATGTGCCGGTCAAGCCGTTGCCCTCGACACCGACGCCGGCTAGTTCGCAGCCCCCTCCGCAAGCCCAATTCAACTTCCAGATGAAGATGCAAGCTTTTAGGGCAGGGTTTGGGGTAGGATTTGTTTAATTTTCGGGTTATGGGTGTCTTTTCAGCCTTGTTGCAGAATCTGAACTGGTGGCCTTCTTGCAGGTTAGACGCCTGCCACGTGGTTTGTCGTGTTGTTAGATTATGTTCTGGCATATTGCGTTTCAGTTATTGTACCATGAGAATCTGAAGCTAACCTAAACAACATGAGTTCGCAAAATAGTAGGAGAGCAGTTTCAAACTTTAAACTGCCTGGGAGCAAATAGCATAAAATAGCAGACTTAGGGTCCTGCTTCTCGTACTCTTTGACCCTAAACCCTAAACCCCTAAACCCCTAAACCCTAAACACCTAAACCTTGCCAGGCTTAGAGCCAACGGATGGCAGGGTGGAGGTGCAGATTGACATGGGCACGAACCAGATGTGCGCACATGCGCCGGAGGTCAGCCCGGCCTGATTGCCCGGAGGCTATAGGGTTTAGGGTTTAGGGTTTAGGGGTATAGCTTCGAATAGGATGGTGAAGAGCTTATTGTGTCGTGTACTGGAAGGCGGGTTGGTGTGAGAGAGAGAGTGTGTGTGTGTGTGGGGATTGTTTGCGTTTCGTGATGTGACTCTGCACAGAAGCATCTACATGCGCATGGATTTATTGTAGAGGTATACATGCAGGCATACGTACAACAACATGTATGTGCGCATGTCTGTCTTGATAGCTGCTTATGCACATATCTCTGTTGCAGCAACCGGCCGAACATTCGAAGTTGATTTCACCTATGGCATGCCTTGCTGCATGATCTACGTAGCACCCGAACACGGGTTCAGGTGTTGCAGCAGTGTTATGCACCAGGCTTCTGCCAAGCCGGCCGCCTACAAGCACCCAGTGTACGGCACGGAGTTCCTGACGCTCTCAGGCACCAGAGCCCCGAATCCTGAGCCCTACACCCTAGGCTCATAAAGAACATTGACCACCTTGGACCTGTGAGCAGGTGCTTCGGCCGTGCTCGCCGACGGCCCTGAAGCCGCTTTGACGAAAGACAGCTAGAATTTTCGCAATCATCATATACTAAGATGTCTGGTGGTGCTGCTCACGACTCCTATTTCTCCGCATCTCTTTGACATCATCGAAAACCAAACCTGTCTTATCACTATGGAAACGGAAAGAGACTTTTGGGCGCCCTCCCACTCTGGCTACAGCAGATCTGCAAAATGAACAAGCTGCTGATGCCTAATACTGTGATGAAGCAGAAAGTACTGTAGTTATGCATGCAAAGATAGCAATACAGATGCAGATGCAGCGGGATAAAGTTACAGAAACAGCCAATTAAGTGATTCTGCGCTTCACCTGTCGAGCTTCTGAGGTGTTGGAGGGAAGGCGCGGCGCCCGAATCGCGGCCCTGACGAATGCCTGCTGCACACTCATCAGCTCCCTGTTGCAGTGTATGTTTATGGGATGTAGATCTGATTTGAGTATGGTGGGCTTACGCACTGAACCCTACTAAGTGTCAGTGCACGGCATGCTAGACCATAGAATTGAAATATACCAGGTATGACATGTATTCTGATGCTTGACAAGTTCGTGTAGTGTTGCACCGTGCGCTTCAGCAAGCTGCACTGTGCGGTGTCATCGGTGTCTACTCTGGTCTGTGGGCTAAGCCAGCTGTTTCTCATCTGGAAGAAGTTACTCAAGATGTTCGTCTGTGCACCTGCGTGCATCTCGGTTCCGTATGCTGTATACACACGCATGTATGCGTCTACGTATCCATGTATGTGTACAGAAGACATCTTCATCCTTATCGCCGTGTCTTTTCTTATGCTGTGATTCCATCTTTTCTTCATATTGCCCTACGATGCCCTGTCTCCCAGTACTTGCATCTGTGTCGATCTGTGTTTATCCATAGATCTGTCTATTTGTTCTCTGCTTCTATCTTCTGGTTCTATGCGCATGTTTATGACGTTTTAATAACCATCTAGCCCTCTCTCTGATGCTCTCTTGCATCTGTCTATCTGTATTTGCGCATGGCATTTGCATACACATGAGCATGTAGGTATGGGTGACATGTAATTAGCAATATGTCTGCACAGAGTCATGTATGTAAGCACGCATACCTTTTTATCCGTTGTCTTTTATACATGGGCTTATGTTTATGTATTCATCTTAAACTTGTTGCTTTCATAAATAGTAATCGTCTACACACCTCCAGACGCTGTACTTAGTTAAGCATAAATGTACATGCATACGCACACACGCAACACATACGTTCGTTTCTATTGATGTCGACATACGTGTGTGGACGTACCCGAGTATTGTTTACATGTGTCTGTAAATGTACGAAAAGCTAAGTGGGAGATGCGTCTGTGTATAACTATATATGCACACACACACATCCACACACACACACACACATATATATATATATATATAATATATATATATATATATATAGATACACATATGTGTATATATATATATGTATATCTTTTCGTACCTGTATACACACAACAGCAGTTGGTTCAATTGAACACTTTAGCAAGACATTGGCAAACATGCAGAATCCAGGTGCGTGGGCAGCTGAGCAGGCTGGCAAGGCCTTTGTGTAGATCCGCTGGGTGCTGTGAGGGAGCCGCTGCTAGTCATGCATACGAATCTCGTGTGCGCGGTGCGTAGCAAAGGCACCAATCTGTAGGATGAGTGCGAGCTCGATCGATCCTCCAATTCCTGCGATATCCCTGCAGGTGCCGATGGGCAAGCTTACCCTTACGGCCAGTGCCATGCTGCAGGGACCAGGACGGAAGCGGTTGCTGTCAGGAACCGGCTATGGCATCGGGGGTCGCTTCCATCTAACTGAATGGAAGCCTCATGCAATCATAAGGGCCGCAAAACTCTGTAGCAACTTTGCCAGTTGTCCATCCTAGATATTCTTTCCTGGGCTGGTCGGGAAGGATCCAAATCTCCGACCAGGAAGAGGCCGGTGCCTGGCCAGGCTACGCTGTCTGATTGTACCTTGCTTCAATCCCGGACGGGCTGAGGGCCATTCTCGGATAAGTTGGCAAGCAACGGCTGTAAAGTCCACTTCGCTGTTCTAAGGGATCGTGAATCTTACGAAGACGGTGGCGGGTGACTGAAATCGTCTAATTGAAGCTCACAAGGCTCCAGTGCTATGCATGAGCGCTTGCAGGGGTTGGCGGCTGCGAAACACACCGTCCCGACCTTTTCGACTGTACCTCGCTAACCATTCAAAACCCTTCCACGTTACTTCCCTAAGCATCAAACTCCTTAAGCTCTAAATGAATCTTCCTTCATCGACTTCGGATTCACTAAGGTTTCAAGCGGTCGAGGCTTCCCGAGCAGCCGAAGAAAACGCAGCCACAGGAGGAGGCATTAGCCGCCTTCGCTCCTCGATCACAGACTTTAGATCACTCCTGAACTTTCTTCTGCTTGCTAGTGGTTCAGGTTATATTTGCATATGAACATACATCTGAATGTATACATGTAAATACACACATATGTACAGTACATATTTACGTGTAGAGATACATGTGTGTATAATATATATATATATATGTGTACATACTCTCTCTCTATCTCTCGCTCTCTCTGTGGAGTGCATGCTTTTGGGCCTGACTTGAAGACGGATGCTTGGCACATCCTGACATGATTGTGGTATTGCCTGGAAGGTTGTTAGTACATGAACAACATAAACATGGCTGGCTGACCACCTAGGCTGCTGTGAGTAAAGGTCCTGCAAGCTGCTTTTTTGTCTTAGTATCTTAGTCCATCTCCCGCTGGGAGGTCCGGACATGTGCTTGCTTTCAAGCGTAGTTGTTGACGACTCGTCTTAGGAGATTAGCGACAGCGACTGATGCGCTTGTTGGGTTTTCTCACTTTTCAATTCGACCTTTGCGGCGTGGAGGGTTTCGACCTTCGAACTTTGCCATCGAGCGACGGCAAGAAGCCGACTGCTGCTCTTTGTACAGGCAGCTGGGCATCGGCATCAAGTCTTTTAGTTTACAGCTGCAAGGATGCAAGATCTTGGCGGCTAGACCGTTTGCAGCACGAGGCTGCTCGCGAGACGAGCAGGTCTGAAAGGGCCGAAATTGGAGGGACAGGGCAGGCGGGTCTTCGAGGTGTACGCGAAGTTGCAGAGTCCAAATTCGACACGACTGAATCAAAAGAGGACTCAAAAGTAAGCTGCTACCACAATGGCTAATGGTAGATCATATATCCAAGATAATTTCAAGACCCTTGGACGCAGGGCTCTGCAGGAGTCCTGCCGGAATGACTCGGCGCCAGAACCACAGCTCTTCGATTCTCATGATCCGGTTTTGAAGCTCTCAGACATGGGACGGTGCGACACAGCCCACCGCACAACGAAACTATCACCTCCTGCCTGGTACCATGCGATCGCTGTGTCGGCTAGACTGCAACTCGGTCCCTTGCAATTGCAAGGCTTGCTTCGCTTGTTCTTTTGAGTGGGCTGCCTCTGCACTCTTTGGCAGCCGCCCTCCATGACCCAGCTTCCCCTTCCCAATTCGCATAGCCCCAATCCTCAAAGCAACTTACGGTTCTGGGCACGAGTTGATTACTCGGCCCAGTTCCCACACTTGGCCGCGCAATGACCGGGGCTATTTCCGGCCGTCGGCAGGTACTATATCGAAGAGGAGCGCCTTCAAATTTTGGAGGAGTGACCTTGGGATCCTAGTCGAAGTGGCATGCTCGGGGTGCAGCGATTGCAGTCCTCAAGCTATCATCAAACCGGGCGCGCATCTCCAAGTCATGAGTTCGAGCAGTAACATCGTCATCAGCGACCTTGATAGGACGAGATGACGGAGAAGGAGCTGGACTTGGGAAGCAAGACCCAGCGAGGTGTTAAGGCTCCTGCGTTGGTGGGTGGGGGAGAGACCACAGAGCCGAAAGATGTGCAGTTGTGTTGCACTACATAGTCCTACAGCTCAATTTCCACCGGCCTTATGACAACACAGGGGGGCCACTCTCATTCGCAGCCGCGTCAAAAAGCTCGCGCTCAATCTGCAACTCAGGTTGAGATGACCCTCCTCGGCCACATAGTCTTCCGAGGTCTGCTGTTCTTTTCGGAAGCGCGTCGCCCTCTGAGAGTCTCTGTCAGACCTGTCTCCGACTGGCGATGGGTCCCGGCTTCACGTGGGCCTGGCCTGTGCTTCGCTGCATTTCACTGCTCTGCTTCACGTGGTCAGAAGCGTAACCTGACGTCGAGTCGAAATTGCAGAGGTTCCCGCAGAGAGCTGCTGCCGCTGCTGCTGTTGCTTTTGGCTATGGCTGTGCTGATGGTGGTTGTAGTGGTTCTGATTGTTGTGGCTGTTCCGGTGTGGTCATCACCATCGTCATAGTCACCGTCATCGTCATCTCTCATCGTCGTCACAATTGCCATCATCACCCTTGCATGCATCATGACCAGCATCGTATGGCATCGTCACCGTCATCGTCATTATCGTCGCCATCACTGGCATCAGTATCAGGATCCGCATCATCAACATTAATTTTCCACTGCACTACCGATAATTACGAGTGTCCTTACCATCTCGGCCGCGTTTAACCTTCAGTTTCCTGATTCTACGGCCTTTGCTGTCACGGGAGTCGTTGCCAGCATTGCAGTATGAGTATGTCATGCTTGTTGATGAGAAATACGAGATTATTAGTGGTCGTGCTGCGCTGCCATTCTTGTGGTCGTAACTGTTGCGGCATGTTCATTGCTACCTTTCTTGCCCTTACAACTATGGCAATCATTCCAAGAGGCGGTGCTACATCCCGGCATGCCCGACACTCCGGTCCCAGCCTTTGCAGTACGTTGCGTCTGGGCATGCTGTGTCTGCGCACACCCGAGGCAAAAGCATCAAGATGTGGACCATGGCTTGCCGCATCGGTTCAAAGATCTCTTGTACTCTCGTGCTTCTTTGTTTCAAAGCGCTACAACATGGTGCGAGCTGCATTGGCCTTCGCCCTGTTGTTCGTGGCAGCATCTGAGCTGTCAGAGCTCCCAGAGGACTGCGAAGACTCCGAGTGCTCCCTTTCGCTGCGCCAGCTACGGGGTGAGCAGACCCTCGCCTCGGTTTCTGCCCACCAGGCGGATCCCTTTGCTGAGCCGGAAGGCATCGACAGCACCGTCGATGAGCCTGTGACACCGAAGAAGCCAAAAGTGCCGGTGGAGGAGGTATACGACTGGGGCAACATGACGCAGGAAGCATGGGAAGAGAAGCAGGGCGGCTCGTGCTGCTTCTCCGCCGACGATCCGAACAATGTTTGTGGAACCTGCTTCCCGACGGCCGTGGCTTCTTTCAGGAACAACTGTGCCAGGAAGAGCACGTGTGGCTCCTGTGGTGGCTCATGGTGCGAGCCGAAGTGCGTCATGGGAGCTGCAGATCCTAAGGACAAGTGCGGCACGGCCTTCGAGACTGGCACTGCCAAAAGCGACAGCTACTGCGGGAAGTCGGCGAAGAACTGTGCGTCCTGCAATGGAGAGTGGTGCAAGCGTGGTGTGACCAAGAAGGTACCAAAGGAGGAGAGTAAGGTCACCTCGGTCAGTGCCGTGTCGAACGTTCAGGGGTTCTGCTGCTACCGCGGCAATGGCCTTGCGAAGAACATGTGCGGAGGCTGCGCGGACGTCTCGCAAGATGCAGCTTGTGCCAGTTCGGCGGGCTGCGGCAGTTGCGGTGGCACCTGGTGCCCGGGACCAAGGCTGGAATTTGAAACTTGACAAAAGCCCCCCACAGCTTCTTCGAGCCCAAAGCAAGGTGCATCAAGTCCTTCAAGGATAAGGCGGACCCCTGCAACACGGCTTACGGCCACGACTCCGTAGCATCAGAACAGGAGACACGGCAGTAGTGCCGAGCCGCCTAGACACATCAAGCATGGTTTCAGAGCACCTCCCCCAAGCTGAGAGGAGTACTGCGCCGGATCCGAAGATCACTGCGCCTCTTGCCATGGGGCCGGGGGCCTTGATGCCGTTTCAGCCGGAAGGGCGAGAGAAGAGACTCGTCTGCTCTTGAGGTCTGGTGTGCCGCCTACAACATCAGTTTTGTCACCGGCGAGAAGTTCGACCCCAGCAAGCCTTTGAAGATGCCGAGCAGTGACGACGAAGACGACGACATCGAGGACGTGGAGGACCCGGGATCCGCGGAGACTATCTCCGAGCTCTTCCCCGACGGCCTGCCCTAGGCCCTAGGCCCTGGATGGCTGAAGGCAACACCAATGCACTTGGCTCTGAAGTCTTGGCACAAGTCCTCGCAAGCTTTACTCAAAGCGAGCCCGAGAAAGCGAGAGATTGCGCAACCTCTGGAGAGCCATATGGTCTGAGGTGTTACGTAATCGACTGTCCAGCAGAGTGAGGTTCTGCGCCGCGGCGATCCCGTTCTGGGTTCCTTCTTCATCAACAGGCCGCCGGGCCGCGCAGCTTTGGGCTACCCACCCAGATATGCATTCCCTCACCGAATCCTGGTTGCCCCCCAACCGGACTTGACAGTGCACAGCCAGTGCACAGCTAGCTTTTTCACTGCGTCTCTCGTCACCCGTCTTGATCTGGAGGCCGTTTGATGGCAGCCTGCTCGTGCAGAACACCTGCGTGGAGTGGAGGCTCCGCTGTCGCACCGCGAGTGTCGCATCAGTGCTTTGCTGTCCCCCTAATACCGTGGAGGCCATTGCCTTCTGTCCAGCTTGGCAAATAGGGGTTCTCTCATAAGCCATAAAGCCGTCGTCCACACGAACTCAAGTTGTCGTCCTGCCTCGGACGATACTGCGATTGGATCAGTTCTGAGGCCTCGTTGAGGCGACGAATCAGACAGATTTACACGAGGTATATCCATCGTCATGTTCACACTAGCACTAGACCACTTACAACTAGGCAGCAAGACGATTCATCACTGTTGATGACGACAACGGTGATGACGTGACGAGAATGCTGCAGGCCACCACCGCTACTACTGGTGCCAGTTTACACCAAGCACTCAACAAACGGATCAAACTTCAACAACACAACTGCAGTTTGAGGTCAGTCTAGAAACACAACTAAAACTCCGCAGCAGAACTACAGTTGGTGTAGAAGACACACATGGAACAGATGTGGTTTAGTAGGATCAAATAGTTTGCCCAACTGCACTTTGCACACAACTGTTCTCCACTCAACAACATCAATTGCACTTCCATGTGCACTTCAATTCCTTGCAACATGATCGAAGGAAATGTAACGCTCCGGAACTAACCACCACCGCCACCACTACCAACCCGACGGCGACTACTACCACTCCTCCTCCTCCTCCTACTACTACTACTACTACTACTACTACTACTACAACCACTACCATTACCACTACCATTACCATTACCACTACCACTACCACTACTACTACTACTACTACTACTACTACTAC